AAGGAAAGAGCAAGTGTGTATTGGGTTCCTTCCCCAATATACATTGCTTTTTGTTTCCCAAGACAAAGTTACATGACCTCATATGCCTGTTTTTCTTTTGTTTTGGGTTTTTTTTTGTTGTTTTTCTTAAGCACTTCCATGCTTCTTTTTGTGCCATTCTTTTCTCTGCAAAATTTTGTCTTGTTTGCAAAAACCAAACTCTATTGCAATGCAAGCTGTTTCTCTTCCACTCTGTTCATTTTTTTTACTGGAGGACAGACTAAATCCTATAACTGGGATGTGTTTACTTTGATGAGGTTTTGTGGACTACGTAGGAGCTGAATGTGCCTGTGAAACAGCCTGGAATCCCTTAGCTCAAGTATGCCCTAGGACTGCGTCTATGCAATAATTATAAGCATTGGAGCCTGCTTGAATACCTGTATTATTCCATCTAATTGCCCCCAGCAGTGAGGCTGTAATACCCCACTTTCCAGAATTAGCTAGGATTCTGCCTATAATCTGAATTCCCTGGCTTTAAAAGATGATTCATCTTCTGTTTGCAGAGTATGTCTTCTAGAAGAAGTCAGTCTTAATGCAAAATGTCCATTGTTCTGCTGTCACAGATGCTAAGACAAGGATGCGTAGCATGGCCCTCTGACTCATGTGGAGGAAGAACCTGCTGCATGCCCATTTCCCTCCCTTTTTAGATCTGAGCATTTTAGAGGAGTGTTAGAAGAAGACCTGGGTGAGGAATGAGTGCTCTAGGTGGGCATGTTTCTTCCAATAGTCAGGTGTGAGGAACCTACCAGACCATCTCTAGTGCTTCTGAACTGCCACATGGTCTGTGCAGAATACTGTCTTGTGTAGGTACAAGATTCCTGGCTTTATTGATATCTTTTAGATAATTGAGCGTGACATGATGTCTTGATTTGAAGAAAATCTTCTATGTATCAGGCTAAATGTCATGTTGTTGTTTCAGAAGTTTAGTGCTTAAATTCCAATTGGATAACTATTTTGAAAACACTTGACAATTTCTGTTCTCTACCATTTTAAAAGCTGTAGTTTGTTTAATATGTCAGCCTTCCTTCACATGGCTCTCGGAAGTATTTTCAGCTTTGATCCTGCAGCTTGCCATGCCTGTCATCTGTCTCTAGAGCATACAGACTTAGGTTTGCCATGGCTTCACCTCCAACTCTTCCTAAATAAGGCAGCTCTTTTTTTTTTTCCAGTTCTTATTTATTATTTGATATTTCATGACTTCTGTAGGTGAGTGTAGGTCCGAGCACCAGAGCTTTAAATACTGTCTCATCTCTCCATCTCAGGGCAAAGTCATCTTGTATAATAAACAGCATCTTTTGCTGGTTTCTTCTTGTAGAATTCTATATTGCTGTAGATTAAGTGTGTGAACTCTATTTAGGTTGTCTTTTTTTCTAAAAACACTTCAGGATAGAGTGCGCTTTATGAATTTGCAGTCCCCATTCTCAGTTTATCTTCAAGTTGTTTTTTCTGTTTCATCGGCAGCAACCTAAAGTATAATTTCTTCAGCCACTTGCTAAGTCATTGTAGTAATTTCTGGCTTAGATCCCATATTTGGAAGAAGTATTCAGTAGTCTGCTTAGAAAATCTTCCTTTTGAGAGATAATTAGTAAGCCTTGCCAGGCCAAATGTATTTTGGTAGTTAGTTTTAGAAGTCCTTTTGTCTCTGAGTTCTGCAACCTGACTGTTGCCTTTGCTAAAATAGGAGCCCTTCTTTGAGGTTCTGTTTTAACAAGAGTGCTCTAGGGCTGTTAAGGATGGAGACCAGGACATATAAAGTGTGTGGGGGTGTTTCCAGCAGGCATTGCAGGGTCTGAAGACAATCATGTGTGACTTCCTGTTAAAGCTAAAGGTGAAAAGCTTTCTAGAAATGCAGATTCTAGACAGAAAAACAGAATATTCAGAATATAATAATAATAAAAAAGTCTAAATGCTGTCTTGGTATACTTTGTAGGGCTCTTCCAATTTTCTAGAACCATTAGTTGATTTTTAGGACCGTATTCTTGAAGGGATGCCTGAATTGGTCTAAATTACTGGCAATGCCTCAGAAATGGTCATTGCAAATAGTAGTACTGCGACTTGTGAAATCATAGCAATGAATGTTGCTGTTGTAATACTCAGCTAATTGCAGAATGATATGCATAAATCTCCTCATGTTGATCAGTTTAACTTCATGGCAATAGTAGATTTTCTTCTCCAGTAACTTACTGGTAGATTTTGAAAAGATGGTATTTTCACTCTCTCTTTCTACCTCCCTGGTACCTAGGTGTTGATGGATATGTTCCATCAAGATGTAGAAGACTTAAGTGCACTAACTTTATCTGATGAGGAGCCCTCCACCTCAGGGGAGCAAACTTATTATGACCTAGTGAAAGCATTTATGGCAGAAGTGCGACAATATATAAGGGAGCTAAACCTCATTATCAGAGTTTTCAGAGAGCCATATGCCTCCAACTCCAAGTTATTTTCATCTCATGTAAGTATTTTGCAAAAATTATAACCTACTGTAATGTACTGGAAATCCAGAACTTTTCTAAGACTGAACTGTTGTCTGGTTTAATGTATGCATAGAAGAGAAAGTTTTTCTCAGGTTCCAAAATGGAAATCGCAAAGGAACACTTGTGGGGTAGTAATAATTTCTTCTGTAGAAGAAACCACCCAGCTTGCTCTGTTCACTTGCAGGCATATAATTTAAGGTTTGTCAATGTTGTTCTTTGCTCTTTTTGATTCATAATTGTTGATGCCAGTTTACAGTGTACATTATTTATATACACACGTTTCACACACATAGGTGTGTCTGAAAATATGTTTTAAAAATCTTGCTATAACACTGTTTCCCAATTGTTTTATAGCACAGTAGCTTTGCACATAATGTTTTTTTTGTAGAACTTTAGTGTCCATTTCAATGCTGAATTTTGTCTGCTTCTGTTGCTTTTCACAGGATGTGGAAAATATATTTAGTCGTATATCAGACATTCATGAACTTAGTGTGAAATTACTAGGCCATATAGAAGACACTGTTGAAATGACAGATGAAGGTAGTCCTCATCCATTAGTAGGCAGCTGCTTTGAAGACATGGCTGAGGTAAGAAAATAATTGTGCTTTTTGCTTTCAGTATCTCAGTGCAGATCAGTGTCTCTGCTCGGGCTGCCTTTGTTTAGGGTGAAATCTTTTTTCAGTGCCTGCCCCCCAGCATGGATGGACTGTCCTATTTTTGAGATTACTTTGACCTTACAGACTATAGACCTCAGCTTTTGTAGGTCTATGTAGAGTTTAGCTTTGGGGAGAGTGTGCATGTGCACACACATACACAAAAGAAGTCTAACACTACTGCATAGATTTGGACGGAGGAACAGAAGAATCCTATAAATCAGTTGTAGGTCAGGGCTGCTAGAGGAAGACCAAGTTGAGCAAAGGCTTCTTTGCTAGCAGGCTTGCTGACTTGAGGAAGAGGAGTAGGCTTGTTAAGGGATGGAGACCAAAGCTCAAAGGTGATAGGAGAAGCAGGAGGAGAAGGGGCTGCACATAAGGGAAGGCATGACAAGAGAGGCTGTCACACTGCCCTTGAGAAACCTGAGTGACTGAGGGCTCTTCTGAAGTGCCTGTTTTCCAGGCCACATGTGTTTGCAGGATGGATCTGAAACTCTGCACGCAGCTGAAGTGCTCTGATGTTGGCTGGCGTTAGTCACGTGGCAGGAAAGGTTGCATGATGGAGGGTTGTGTAAGTGAATGCAAACGTTTAGAAAGGACAGTAGGGAAGATGAGGCCTTTACAAAAGGGGCAGCTCAGATATGCAGAGCTCTGTCATGAAATGGATTACGGGCCTGTTCAGCACTTCATGGATGAAGATCAGAGGGAGAGGCTGATCCCCAAAGGGGATGTTGTGGTAGGACTTCCACTGCAGGCTACCGAATCAAGAAGAGGGAGCGGATGATGCCTTTAAAGAGGTAAAAGTAATCTTCTGATCACAGACCCTGTTTCTCTTGAGAGAATAACCATCTTCACATCTCCTGGGAAGACAACTTACTGAGGCTCAAGTAATCCAGAAGGCTTCTGGAGTGTGCTGGGCACCAGCCTTTTGCAGCAGGTGCTAATGGACCAACTAGGGAAGGTGGTCCACTTGATATCTTTCTCATGAATAAGGAAGAAATAAGGGGAGTGTCATACCTAATGGCACCTTTGGCTGCAGTAATCTCAAGGTAGCAGAGTATACAACGTTGAGGGAAGTGCAGGAGACAAGCAGCAGACTGAAGATGCTGGTTTGGGATTGAGCAGTTCACTCCTTCAGAGAGTTTGAAGGCAGGATTAATTAAGAAGCTGGTTCATCTTTAAGAACAGCTTGTTCGAAGTACAAGGAAGATGTATTGCCAGTCCCTAGAAAGAAATGGACAGGTATAGCAGAAGGCTAGGCAGAGCTCAGATGACAGTTTTCTGTTCAGCCAAACACAAAAAGACAACAGGACTTCCCAGAATGAATGTAAAAACAGTCTAGGTGGGTGGAAATGGTTTTAGGAGGACTGCAACTCTGCTAGGGTTAAATTTGGTAAGGAAGGTGAAGGGAAACGAGAAAGCCTTGCATAGGTTTAAAAAAAAAAAGCACGGAAAGCAAAGCTGAAGAAACTGTATCTTGCTCAATAGTTTAGGAGGCCTTGTGATGAAGGCTATGAAATGGGCTGTGGTATTCTGTCTCTTGCTCAGTCTTTACTGGCAAGATCTGCTTTTAGGCCTCCTATTTTTTTTTTAGCCTAGTAGCAAATGCTGGGGGAGGGAGAAGTAAAGTTAGGGACTACTTATGTAACCTGGATATAAAAGCATCTATGAGGCAAAACAGGATCCCAAGGCAGTTGACTAATGTCATTGTATGGCCACTCTCCAGTATGCTTGAAACTTTGTGGAGATCGCCTTTCACAGAAAGTACAAGCGTTACACCCGTTTTCAAAGAAATATGGTGAGGAAGATCCTGGAACCTGGGATAATAGTCACCCTCACTGCTGTCCCTGGGAAGTTTATGAAGCAAATCCTTCTGAAATTCATGTCCAGGCAAATGAAGGCCTAGAGGTGATTGGGAACTGCCTGCACAGACTTACCAAGGGCAAACTGTACCTGACCACGCTGACTGCCTTTTAAGAGGAGACCACTGGCTCCATGGATGGGGGAGAAGCAGTGGGTATCATTCGTCTGGATTTAATCAAGGCCTTCAGCAGAATCTGCCGTAGGATCCTTATAATCAGCCTGGTGGGACATGGTTTCACCAGCTGAATTATCAGGTAGGCGGGAGATGTGCTCAGCAATACAAAGTTCATCTAATGGCCAACAGTTATTGGCGTTGCTCAGGGTTTGGTATTGGGGCTGGTGCTGTTAAGGCCTGTGTTATTAGCATGGGAGAAGGTAGAGAATGCACCTCATCGAGTTGGCACATAATGATGCTGGAAGTAGGTCTGTTTCTTGGGGAACTTGAAAGCCAGCTGGAGAAATAGGGTGACAAGGAGCCTCATGGAGATGAAAAACGGCAAATGTGAAGTCCTGAACGTGGAATGGAGTGACCTTGCATGATGGTTTGGCTGGCTGGGGAGCGGTGCTCCATGCCTAGAATTCCTTGGGAATCAGCAACACAGCCTTGCAGCAGAGAAGGCAGACTGCCTCCTGGGCTGGATTAGGAAGCGTGCAGCCATCAGGTCGAGAGATCCTTTCTGCATAACACTTGAGACCATCTCTGGAGTACCATGTCCAGTTCTGATCATCCCAGTACAAGAAATGTCTATACCTAATGGAAGGCCCATCATGATCATGACTGAGGAGCTGAAGCACATGATGTTCAAGGAGGTCTCAGAGAAGTCTGGGGAGGAGATCTTAACGAAGCACATGATGTTCAAGGAGGTCTCAAATAGAGAAGTCTGGGGAGGAGACCTTAATGCTTAGGTTGCCTAAAGGAAAGCTGGAGAATTCACAGTGGTAGGGCAAGAGAGAGCACACCGAATGCAATGCGGGGAATCCTGATCAGATACTCGGGAAGAAAATCGCCAAAGAGAATAGCTGAATGTACTACAGTCTACCCAGAGGGGTTTTGGCAGCTCTGTCCTTGTAGGTGCTCAGAATAGAGTTGGATAAAGCCCCAAGCAATCTCAGCTGGCTTTGACACTGATCTGACTTTGGAGTTGACCATGTGTTAAGGAGGGGATTGGGCCAGGTCACCTCCTGAATTTCTGACCTAAATTATTCTATGAATCTGTGCACATAAGTCTTTGCAGTATTCATTTTCCTCTATATTTGTTTCACAGCTACTAGGTAGAAAAGTCTTTCCTAGGTAGTATCTGTATTTTCCTTTTAAAAAATGTGGTTTAGGTATTTAATCACTTTTGTAAAAAAAAATCTGCTGTATTTCTTCTTAGGAGCTAGCATTTGATCCATATGAATCATATGCACAAGATATTTTGCGACCTGGTTTTCATGATCATTTTCTAAGTCAATTATCAAAGCCAGGAGCAGCATTTTATTTACAGGTAATTTTTCTTTTAAGCAAAATGCATGAATTTTTAAAGCACATTATATTGTTGCTTCAGTACATTTATTATTATAAGATTGAAATTTATTTTGTTTCTAGTCAATAGGTGAAGGCTTTAAAGAAGCTGTTCAATATGTTCTACCCCGGCTGCTCCTTGCCCCTGTTTACCACTGCCTTCATTATTTTGAACTGCTAAAAGTAAGAACACTGTGTCCCTCCAAATGTTGTTGTTTGTGGTATGTGGGGTATTTTATTTTTTTATCATGTTTTAGATAACAGAGCTTTGTGTGCTCAAGTGTAAAGTTTTTATTACAGTCTGAATCGTAACGAACGTTTCATCATAGCAGTTTTATATGCTCTTGTGTGCACTACAACTATTGCCTTCTTTCATGCAAGTTGTACAGCAGCTGATGCTTTCTGTGTTGAATAACCAAGTTGTTATAGCTATTTACTTAATAAGTAAATCAAGGAGATCTAGATATATGTGTATTCTTAGAATGTTTATGGGGTTGCTTCAACAGTGGTAAAAGATGATGGGCAAAATGGCAGTATCATAGCAAATGTGTAAAGTATTTCTCAAGCTGTTACTCAGTAAATTTAGAAGCACAGTAAGATTCCCCTTTGGATTTCATGTTCTTTTGGCTGAACCTTCTATGTTTTCCTTTGTGTGGCACGTGTCCTCTGCTGGATTTGCAGGTAGTATCCTTCATTCAGAGGAAAGTGTTGGCTGCGTCTACAGTTCTTGGGCTTTTTGTAATAGGACCTCACATCAATAGGGTAGCAGTAAAGACTGTGTAACATATACATGCAAAGAAAACAGTTACATAGCACTTCTACTGGATTTATCAAACTTCAGTGAATAATTATCAGAAGCGGAGAGTTTGAAGAAAATTTACAAGCACTTTGAGGAAACTCCTAGGGGTTGCGTTACTTCAAAATTAATTACCTGGGGGAATTAAGATGGGAAGCAAAAATCAGTTTCTGCTTGAAGAAGCCTAGTTGTGTTTCCTTCTTGGATGCTTATTTGGTGGTTCTGAGAGGAGCCAGTAGTTGGGGCATTTTTGAGTCTGTCAACTTTATATATCTATAGTCTTTCAGCGTTTTTACTGAGTTTTGTCTGCAATAACAGTTTTAGGATGCTGCTCTTCTGTGTCACACGCTTTTTGGAATTTTGTAATTTATGCTCAAACCATCTGAGTAGCTCTTGGGTTTGCTCTGACTTTTTAGGTACTATTTACATACTTAAACATCTCCTTTCTTATCTCCCTGGTAGGGGAGAGGTGTGAGACAGCCTGGATGCTTTTTGTATTGCCTGCTCAGCAGTAGGATTCTTCTGCTTGTGCTTATATCATACAACTTCAGAGCATGGTACCTTATGGTTTTACAGATCTTCCACGTGAATGCAGTACTTGATGGGTAAAGCATGAAGATTAATGCTGTGTAAACCACAGCATCCCATGTTGTGTCTTGCCGTTGGGTATCTTAGCAGGAGAAAGGGGACATATGTGTGGGGGTTGTTTTTTTCTTTTTTGTACTTCTTACGTTTTGTAGGGCCAACGAAAAACCAAAATCTAAGCTTAGCCTGACTCCAGAAGCTTATTAAATTTTTCCTTGCTTCTGACCCACCCTTGGTGTTAAATCCTTCTTTTCCTTTTCCCCGCCTTGCCACACCATGTAACCTGAGATTGTTGCTGGGGTTTTGTGCTACATCTGGTAATTTTCCAGGCTGTCCCTGCACTGGGATTTCCATATACACTTCTAGCGAGACGCTCTCCTCTGTGCTCATGGATGTGATGTGCAGAATTGGCAGCAGTGACCGATAGGTGCACGTGAAGGGAGACGGTGGCTCTTGTAGCAGGAATCACCTACCAGCTAGTACGAGTGTGCACGTGCAGCAGATGAATGTCTCCTCCAAAGAGCCTGGTAATCTTCTTTCTTACATCTGGAATATTCAGATTCCAATCTGATAATCCTGATAATGCTCAAATTAAACTGCTGCAAAGGGTATATCTTGCATTTTTCTGTTTTTTATGATCCTACCAAGTTCATTGAGGCACAACTGTATTAAATTCTTACATGCCCTGACTTGGGGACTGTAGGCATATACATCCATAGTTGACTTAAAATGCTACAAAAATGGATCTCTGGGTATGAGAAAACAAAGTGTTGGCACATTATGTAATGAAAAAACATGTTTTCTCTTCAAAAAGAGATACGTTTAAGCATAAAGGGGTTAGCATTTTTCTTTGAGCTATATTGTGTAATTTTGCATGCTTTGAAGTTATCTGTTTAAAATACATCTCAGAGTTGCCTTCTAACTATGCAAACTACAAAAAACATAAATTTCTATCCACTGATGGTTATCGTATTTAGAAGCTAAAGCCCTCCTGAAGTTTGGCAGGGCACCAGGAACACACAAATACATATTCTATTTT